TGACTAAAAAGCTCATTGGTAGGAAGATCTGGGTTAAGCACTAAAAAACTATAAATATGTATACTTAATCGTGAATGATAAAAGATGTTTACCTGCCAAGACAAATTCGAAATTCCATGTATCTCCTGCAACAGACAACTGTTCTGGTATCTAAAATAAAGAAAGGAGGGAATCACCAAGAACACTGAAAGTTGAGACACGTAAGCAGGGATAAAAAAAGACAGAATTAACTTGCAAAATGCAGGATTCATGGGAAAGAATTCAAATAGCTATTCAGTGCAAGGGAAATATTTGAAAATAAGCAGAAGTGAAGATGACCACTGGAGAACAACAAATCAGATGTGTTTCCATGAAGTAAGGCAACAGATTTAGTGAAGTTCTGGGATAACACATACTCACAGGAGCAGAAAGAATGATATAAACCCACGTATGACTGGCAAAATCACTTCAGTACCAGTGTGTTCAGCACCTTTATCCCACAGAAAAGTGGTACATGGTTCTGTGAACTCAAGCAAGATGGCAATACTGAATATAATGGTTTAGCTGCATTTATTTTATCAGGGATACTACCTATGCAAGAAAGATTATTACAAAAAGCAAGAACAAAGGACAAATTCAGGGTGAGGAAAATACAAAAAGACTAGACTATTTAAGCAGAATCCATTGTTCCTAAAGTTTTTGAAAACTAAGCCCTGTTTAACTGCGATGAAAGAAAGACTTGATTCAAAACGCCAGAAGAAACTGACACCAATTAAATGTGTTGCATTTGATCCCAGCTCTACCAGGTGGTCCAAAAAGGCCACAGCCCTGGGCCTGACTCATCGCTGAGGCTTCAGTGTCACCCACAGAACAGAGGAGGGAGGAGAAAATCTGTCAGATGTGTGGATGGCTCCTCAAAATGGGGAAACCCTACTACCTGACAGAATGAATTTTTAAATTTTTTATGGTAAGGGGGTGGGAACTCTGGTCCTTCATGTTCATTCTATGACATTTAGATCCTCTTACCTTCCAAACCTTTGTAAATGTTCCAACACCATGACATAGGTACTAATCACAAGAGTGTTATTCTTTGAGATGAAAATATAAACGCTCTCTGCCCATTATCTGCAAAAATTCTATTATCATCCAGTCTTCTTCAAATGGTTAGAGCAACAATTAATACTGTCTTAGCCCAAAACTGTCCAGGTTGCCATTTAACACGACATCAGTGAGCCCTCCAGTGGCTATTTTAAACCCTACATGGTTACAATAACTATAAGTTGAATAACTGTGTGCGTATATGTAGTTTTTTCAGATTCCTATCAATTTAATTTAAATTCAGTCATCTTCTACTACTTTAAACAAACAAACTTTTGTAGCAACCTATTAAAAGGCTCCATAATACTTGCAAACAGATGTATTTTCAGCTCACATACATTTCCTTTCCCTCCTATGTACAAAATTTACAAGTAATTAACTTTAAACATTTGAGTAATTTCACAGAAATCAGTAAGGAATATTTACCTAAGGGCTGAGGAGGAAAAAAGGTCTATGCATTGGGCTCAAAGTCAAAATCTTAGTCTATGATCCTGTAGTATATAAATCCTACCTGTGGAAACTATAAACACCTGGAACAATGAATAAATCATTCACAGGCTTTTCCAATACAAACCCCAGGATGTGGAAGATTTAACTAAAACAAAAGATGCTTGTTCTCATAAAGAAACTTATTCAGCCGCAACTCCTTGCAACAAGATAGTGCGCAGACAGGATGTTTGGCCTAAAGATAACTGGAAAATTCATGAAACAAAAATCCACCTGGGCCCATTATTTGCAAAGAAATCACTCCCTCATGAGTAATCCCTAGAGTCTCGAGTAATCTGGGAATGTAGCATCACACACTCCTTGAACTCTTACACTCTTCCATTATGGAAGGTATCCATTATAGAAAGCTGCAGAGATACGTTTGGCTAAAAGCACCTTTTCTCAGGTCTAGCCCTGACATTTTTAAGTTTAAATAAAACCTTTACTCAAACTATTTAACCACTGTGTCAAAAATATCCAGTAACTAAGGAACTCTGAGATTCCACTGCAGACTTTTTGCCATCGGTCCACTCCGAGATACTGCCACCTTGCACAGCGTACAAGAAAAATCTGAGCAGGATTGTGCCTCATTTGACAGCATCTTCTTGTGCTTGATTCTCCAGTCTTTATACCGTATCATCCTGAATTTGTTATATGAGCATTGGTTGCTATGGAAATCATCTGCTAAATTCAACGTTATTGATTTTGTTTAACATGGGAATACTTCAGTATGGCTCCTTTTCAGATCTGAGCTGTAGTCGTCAGACAAGGTTCTGATCACTCCTTTCACAGGAAAATCCATAGAAAGAGAGTGAGAGAGAATTAAATCTCAGTGAAACAACACAGATCAACACTAGCGTCCAAGCTCTGCAAGGATCTGAATGGATCGCAGACATTCTGTATCTCTACCCCCACCCTGCAAGTTTGGCTCTTCTATGACTTGGGAGCAATTTATTCAAGAACGCCTTCAAAATGCAGTTCTTGAACCAGTGCAGGTACTGGAAGGAGCATGCATCATGATTGGCTCTATTTTTCAAGTTAGTTTATCCTCTCTCAGATGAAAAATCCTTAGTAATTCAGCTACATTATTTTCAACACTTACAGCAGCTTATTTACAGACAGCTAAACCATCAAAACGAAGCATCATTCTTTAGTCTCTCCAAGACCTGGTTTGCATTTGTGTGTGAACTGAAAAACAAAACAAACAAAATCCATTTTCTTCATTAACTGAAGGCAGGTTAAATAGCATACAAACAACTCCATGCTTATGAAAATATTTTTCAAATTGAGGAAGGCAATAAATCCAAATTTAAGTCTCTAACTGGAGGTAACCTGATTTTGAAGATCAAGTCTGCAAAGACAAATATTGTTAATATTATACATACAAGTAGCCTGATTAAGTCGGTAGGATCAGTGCTTTGAGGATTACTGGGGTTGTGAAATACTAGGCAAATACCATATAAAACCAGAAAATAAAATCTCAATCAAATCAAAAGCTAGTTTATTGAACAGCAGAACTAAGTGAGACTGATTTTCTGCTGACTCATGGTTTGTGAATGATTGGCTTTACTGTCTCAGAAGGCTGCACACCAAAGGCTGAAGGATATTTACCACTGAAGCATTTAAATAAAGTCTTTTTTACCATGTAGATTCTTTGGTGTCTTCTAAGGTATGAGTTTAACTATAATGCCACCCCCCATCAAAGTGCTTCTGCTCTATCTGGCCACCTGTTATCATGAAACCTACAAAAAATCAACATTTCTGTTACGTTTGACCAAACCAGCCAATAGGTTCAAAAACTAGCTGAGGATCAAAACCACCAGAAAGCGCAATCGTTTAAGCCTTGCTTCCATAGGAAACATTAAAAATATAAATGCACGGATAACAGTTCCATCAATGTATGTTATGAATGTGATTCACACTCAAATTATTCACAAATTATTAACTGTGTATATGATTATGACTCATGAAGACAGTACAAAAGGTTCCTCGACTGTGATCTTGCTGTTCTATTCAGGAAAATACATTCAAGTATCCAACATTAATGTTTTATAAGGACATGTTTGAAAACAGAACTGCAGTAAAAGTAAGCGGAATTTAAATTTTTCAAATATGTCACAGAACTGATCAGGAAAAGCTGTAGAGAATTATAATCAGAAATTGCTATGCCCACTACAGATGGCAAACTTTGCATCTTCCCCTTCCGTCAAAAAGCCCAAAAAATATTTTTATCCACCATAAATTACATTCTGAATTCTGTATATGCAATAGTAGGGTGCACATGGGCCCATCATTATCACAGATTTTTCTTTATCAGAGCCCACATAACTCTGTGCATGGCCTTCGTCACAAGCAACAGGCTACACGGAGGATTTAAATCTGCTCCTGTCTAGGTATATGAAACCATCCAAAAAACCCATGTTCATATCCCATCCTTAGTCCCAAAGAGGCTCTATGCTGACTACAGTCGTGCTGTTCTCATAGGGAATGCAAATTACTGCTGCTCAAAACTCCGTGTGCCTGCATTAACAGCTACAGAAGAAACAGACAGAAGCTCAAGAATATTCTCTTCATGCTTTTGCCATTTTATCTTGAGTTTCAGCAGCAAGAGCTAACCAGACAGGGCTCTGAGCACAAGCATGCTTTCCAGCTGAGCAGCTCCCATGTTTTCTCCTAACAGACCTATGCCCGAGGCTATGCAGAACCCTTTTCAGCCTCTCCTACAGCAAACTTCTTCCATATATGCTTCCACACGTGCCTTCAACATGCTGATGCACAAGTGCAAGGTAAGACCTCGTCAGTAGCTTTTCTCTTTAATAAATGTAGGTATTTGTGGTTTCATTCACTTCTGACCTGGTTCAGAAGCTTCAGTCCATCACCTAATCATCCTAATTCCAGAAACCAACTTCTCTGAACACAAAAATGTATTACAATTCAAATTAAAAGGTCATTCAACCCTGGAGAAAAAAAAAAAAACACACAAAACCCCAAACTTTTGTTCTACAGCTCAATACTGTTAAAAGTTACAATGGGAAGGCATATCTGACACAACCACAGAAAGCAGACCTCAGAGAAACCACTGGTCAGAGGCAGGATCAGTTGGACCTAAGACATTCCTGCAAGATGTATTTTTTCCTAGAATGTTCTAGATAATTAAAATAGGTACTGGTAGGAAATGTTTCCTAAGGTCTAGCCCAAAGCTGCCTTGACAAAGTTTAAGTGTTGTTGTTCTCTCCACATTGGATGCAGAACAATTCCCTTCTTCGCAGTGTGACTGTCACAGTCTTTGTGTATAACAATATTCTGAAGAAAATGCTGAACATCCCTGTTTCTTGCAGTATCACACAGCATGGCTAAGGTTGGAAGGGACTTATGAAGGCCATCTGGTCTGGCATCCCTGCTCAAGCATGGCCACCTAGGGCCCATTGCCCAGGACCATGTCTGGACTGCTTTGGGAGATCTCCAAGGATGAAGACTTCAGCAGCTCTCTGGGCAATCTCTGCCACTGCCCCATCACCCTCACAGTAAAAAAGTATTTCCTGATGTTCAGGAGGAACATGCCCTGTTTCAGTTTGTACCCACTGCCTCTGGTCCTGTCACTGGACACCACTGGAAAGAGTCTGGCTCTCTCTTCTTTGCACCTTGCCTTCAGGTTTTTATTTACATTGATAAGGTCACCCCTGAGCCCACTCTACTGTAGGCTGAACAGTCCCAACTATCTTAGTCTTTCCTCACAGGAGAGATGCTCCACACCCTTCATCATCTTTGTGGCCCATCACTGGACTCTCTCCAGTATCCCTGTCTCTCTCTTGTACTGGAGAGCCCAGAACTGGGCACAGTACTCCAGCAGTGGCCTGACCTGCGCTGAATAGAGGGGAAAGATCAGCTCCCTCAACCTGCTGGCAACACTCATCCTAATGCAACCTTGGATACCATTAGCCTTCTTTGCTGCAAGGGCACTTTGCAGGCTCATGTTCAACTTGGTGTCCACCAAGACACCCAGGTCCTTTTCTGCAAAACTGATCACCAGCTGGGTGGTTGCCACCATGTACTGGTGCCTCTGGTTGTTCCTCCCCAGCTGCAAGACTTTGCACTTCCCCTTGTTCAACGTCATGAGGTTACTCTCAGCCCATTTCTGCAGCCTATTGACCTGGCAGCACAACCGTTTGGTATTTCAGCCACTCCTCCCAGTCTCCTGTCATCTGCAAACTTGCTGAAGGTACGCTCTGCCCCACTGTGTAGATCATTAATGCAGATGTTGAACAGGATCAGACCCACTATTGACCCTTGCGGTACACCACTACTTACTGGCCTCCAACCAGACTTTACATCATTGATCACCACCCTCTGGGCCTGGCCATTCACCTCACTGTCTGCACATCCAGCCCATACATCAACAGCTTCTCTATGAAGATGTTATGGTAGATGGTGTCAAAAGCCTTACTGAAGTCTACACAGACAATAACCACTGCTCTCTGCCTGGCTCTGCCAGGCCATTTCATCACTAACAAGTTGGTCAAGCATGACTTCCCCTTGATGAGTTCATACTGACTGAGCGTGATGCTTTTCTTGTCATTCATGTGCCTGCATATGATTATCACACTCAGCCAGTGTGGCAGGACCACCACTACCCTCCTGCTGCCCCCTCAGTGGTCTAACAGCATGGCACAGGGGTGCAGGTCATGTGCACAAAGCGCCCCCGGACACATACCACAGATACCCGAGTCCCAGAAACCACCTCGGCCAACAAGCTGACCGAGGAGACCCCTCAAGCAATGAGGACTGTATGTGACCACAACCAATAGGTGACCATAGTTCAGGTCTAACCAGGCCATGAAATGGGGCCCCCACTGAAGAACCCCTTTGAGTGGTTCTCCTCGGAGCAGCAGGTCTGTGATTGGAAGCCCTCCCTTTGGGTCGGGACACCATCCAAAGCAACTTTCTGGGACTGAGTGTCCTTGCCTCATAGGTGAGTGGTTTGTGCATTTTGAGTCCTTGTTCCAGGCTTAGATTTAGCTACACACCATGTAGTATTAGTTCCCAGCTGACATCCTGAACCTGTAAATAAGTTGTGTCTGCCAAGGTGTTTGTAATGTAAGAACCCTGTTCAGGCAGTTTGACTGTTTTACCTTCTTCCTGGCACCATTAAAACTAATTTTTGGAACATATTTTGTCAGTCTTACACTTCTGTGACAACCATTTAACAAGCTTAACCATTTAACAGTCTTATTACTTTATTTCGGTAATTTTACAAATGATATCCCTAAGGTTAAGGTTTTAATTTTAGGAAAAACATATCAAATTAATAATGGAACTTAACAAATTCCTGGTACTGTTACATTATTTATCATTCACCAATGTTTTAAATCTTGTCAGGGAAAAGAACAGATGAAAGAAGAAGCTGAAATGACACTCTGGTACTAAATAAGATCTCCTGACGCTGGACTACTAAACCCAGTATGTTAGTTTTGTTAGCTCTACCAGTTGCCTGACAAATACAGTTGTTCAATCCTGAGGAACAAGGATTTTCAAAACAATTTTGAGGGATCTCAAAGAAAATTGGATGTATACCTGCCTAAGAATCCTTTTAATCCTCTTCAAAATTATGATTTGGTATAATCATGAGTGTCTGCAATAGAAGGAAAACTTGTTTTAAAGGGACTCCAGGCTTTTACTTTTGAGTGAACTCAAAGGAGGCTTATACGCAGGCTTCAATAAAGGTCAATTTTCTCTCATGCTCAATATGCATGAGATAAGCTGAAAGGTTACAAAACAGGCATATAGATGAAATGTCTTCCGTTCCGCTGAATCCCTTTGTTGTGGTGGTTTGATTTTTGTTTCCATTATTGCACAATGCCATTCCTAACATAAATTCTTGTGTACTCTCTGCCTTAAGCATTCAAAAATAACAGCTGTGCTGCCTGAAACTAAGCTAAACCAAAACATACTCTGTTTTGAATATTCCAACCAATACTTGTTATGGTTTGAGAAACCCATAACAATTTATTGTCGTTTATACAATCATTCTATCACATGATGATCCCTCCACACCCAGAAAGGGGAGTCAGGAAAAACAAGGGAACCTGGGGGCTGAAATATAAACAAATTTAACAGACCAAGTCTAGATTATTAACATTAATAACACTAAAGAACCAATACTGATCCTGATACCAATCAAAATATACAAAGATTATACTCAGCTAACTGTTTCAGTAGGAAGCCACTCACTCCCAGCAGCAGTTTTTAAGACATCAGGCTGCAGCAGCTGTAGAATCCTACCCTGTCTGTCAGCACTTGTGCCTCAAATAACTTCTTTTTTTTTTTTTTTCCCATCAGAACGGCTTTCAGACAGATGTATTACATGATCAGACAATACCCTTGCTTCTGGTAGGACCATGAAAGCAGAAAATTAAACTGGTGTTCTTTTACAACAGAGGCCCAACAAGGAGACAGCAGCATGCAGTGGACACGGAACATGAAGAAATCAACAGCAAGATCACCATTTTTGGCAGCATTTCCACAAATCTTCTCATCTCACAGGTTAACTACACCCAAGAAATACCACTGGAGTTTATGAAAGTGCAGAATTCAGCATTTACCTACTGAAAAAGCCTGATGCCAAAAATAACATACACACCCTAGGAACTGAAGTGCCCCTTATCAAATCCTGGCAAGCTGCTACTTATGTTTTACCGTGAAAGCATTTACATTGCTGGCTAAGAATGTTTGTAAACTGAACTCCTATCCACAGCCTGCACGCCCCTCTGAACACGCCTGCACCCCACGTTTGTTTTCTGTCCGCACTCTGGGCAAGCAGCACGTTAAGTCCTGCAGGCGCTACGGCCAGTGGAGTGCCCCGTGCCTGTGAAAGAGCTGCAGGCCGGCATTCCGCGAGGTCACAAAACCCGCCCGGACCCAGGCTCCGCAGTACACAAGTGGCCCCGAAGCGGGGCACACGTTTCATTTCACCCTGAAGGTTCACGGAGAGGCCGGAGCAGGGTCCCTCC